TGCTCAGGTCCAACCTGGCCTGGACATGTCCTCATCCCAAAGTAGATAATTCCTGAGCTATTGCATGAAAATGAGGAAGGGCACCACCTACGCCTTCCCATCTTTTGCAAGACCTGACTTAATCACCTCATTCCTGGAGAGGATTCATAGCTAGGAACAGGAAGGACAGGGTGTAAGTCATACCTCACTCCTCTGCATTTTCTACTCACTAACTTAGAGAGCCTCGTATTCAGTTTTTGTGGATTCTACTCTTAGGATCCTAACTCTTCCCACACAACGCATGGGAAGCTGCTTTTGTGCTCGACTTAGGGGTGTGGAGTTGATGAGGTGACAGGTTGCCTAACAGTTAGGTGCAACCAAGGTGAGTAGTGACACTTAGGTCCTTTTGCAGATCTACTCCCTGATATTTAGACCCAATCTACACAGTTTAAGTACCAATTCAAATCTTTCATCTTAGAGCTATGATTCTATTCCAGTTAAATCCGTACAAGTCCCTAAGCTGCACATGGGCTAGTATTTAGTGGTCTATATAAATTGTGGTTAGACACCAATTTTGGTGGGTTGGTTGTGGCATAAACAGCAAATTTCATGGACATTTCATAGATGTCCTCCAGCAGCCCCACCCCCTGGTGCTGAGGCCCTGGTGGGTTGAAGGGACAAGGGGGCAGCCAACATCTTTTCTGCTGCCCTTTGTGCCACCCTGTCAACTGGTGCCTTCCACTCTGGGCAGGCTGAAAGGCTGGGCCACAGAGGCAGTGAGGACTCTGGACTCCCACTGGGGAGTAGTATTTTATTTTTTTTAAGCTTTTTTCACTGATTTCATGGACAATCCCGGATTTCACAGTTTCCGTGAAATCTCCGAACCCATAATTGAAGTAGACCCCTAATAAAATTAAAAGGGTGCCTTATGCCAGCTATTACTCATTCTTGTACATTTATACTAGAAGAATTACAGGGCTGTATTGTTCTAACTATACCTATTTCTAAGCCATTTGAGTGAAGCCACTACAAAAGAGCAGGTAAAACAAGCTTACGTTGATTTAAGAGCATTTATGCACAAAGTTGCATTAATTTACCTACATCAGTTTAAAGCTATGCCTTTAGTTAAATTGGTTCAACTAAGTGCTTAGACCAGATCTCAACAGAGGTTCACATGATAATAGATTCTGCCACTATCAGAATCTATTGCCTTTTGTACCCAGTTACAGACAAAAAGCTGCACTGTCCCTTAGGACATCCAACTGGAAGAGACTTCTTGACTCATCAAGTCCAGTCACCTGCATCTTGAGATGACCCCTCCAGCATGAGGAAGGCTTGTACTAACACCTGTGGCTCCCTTGTACTATTTAAGTTACGAATTTCAGTCTCCATGCCCATCAAGCAGGTGTCAGAAGCACCACTTTCACCATGTTAATTGTATAGAGAATTAGTTTCAAGAAAAGAAAGCAGCATTTTTACAGCTGAAAAAAAAATAGTAACATGCCACAGCCTCGCTTTGAGTTCTCTTTTGTAATATATTATGCAAGAAAGATCATTACATAGTTTTATGGTGACATCGTAACTGGTGTGAAGTAAATAATAGGGAACAAAGCAACTAGACACAGGGGAAAAATCCCAGCATTACTGAAATCAGTGGGAGTTTTGCCACTGTCCTGGAACAGGGCCTGGACTTCCCAGAGAAAACCTAGCCCCCTTCTCAGTTCTCCCTGAATCAACTTCAATGACTTCACCTTTGTTAATTCAGTGATTCCTCTTGATTTACAAAGCCAGGCCTGATCTTCATGCAGTTTTTTATCTTAGAACTAGTATGTGTCATTTGGGGTGTGTTTTTATACAAACAGTACAGCCTGAAGCACGAATGCAGTTGTACTGGTATGAATGTGCTCTATATCAGGGTGAAGTTACATGTTACACTTAGACCATACTAAATCGGTGGAACATTAAGTGGTGTTAAAGTTGAATGTGCTGTGAGCAGTTGCAGGCTAAGGGTTAATGCTGTTCCTTGCCTGCACAGCTCTGACTTGTCACTAGGGGGTTGGTGAGCAGGGCTGTGGCTAGAAGCAATGCATCGTGGGATGCTGTAGGACTGTAAATTGCTTGTTTTATCCCCATAGAGCAGACTGAAGTTACCCTAATGAGCTAGGTACCCCGAGTTACACCACTTCAAGTGAAGGTTAGCTTCCAGATGCTCAGAGAGCACTTAGTACAAGTTAACAAGCTTTAATCTGCAGATGCTCATATTTTAGGTGCCCCCATTATGGTCTAAGTGCAACTTGTAAAGTCAACCTCAGTAAGAATGTATTAGTTTGAAACAATATGAAATAAAGATTTTTTTACTGCAATATCAGTAGCATGAACTATTTAGAAAATGGGACTGTAGAGTCCCTATGTATTTCTTTCCGTTGCCCAACCACATGCTGACTGGATGGGTTTACTTCTCTGGAAGGGCAGAGATGCATGCTGTAATTCCTGACATACAACACGCTTGCCCCTTCCCTCCCCCAGTCAGGCCTGCCCCCAAACTGGGGATGTATATTTTAAGGGGGAAGCTGTTTTTCTTCACTGAAAAAGCAGCACATCAGGCAACACTGTGCGTGCCATGAAACTGCTAAGATGGCCACCACTTGTCTCCGCTCAGCAAACTGAAATAAGTCTTGTGTCAACCCTGACAGCTATAGCTATTGGCTGAGCAGTGTAGCTTGTGTCAAAAGCAGCCAAAGAGCTACTAGCGGTATCTTGATGATGCCGGTTATGTTGAAACAACACTTTATTTAAAGGAACTTATATAAAGAACAGTAAATAAGTAACAGTATTGTTCTGCCCTTTGCAAGGGTCTGGAACTTAACCTTGTGTGACAAAGTAAGTCCTCCTGGGAACAGTGTCTCCAGGATGACTTACTCTATGCGAGTCAACCATGACCCTGGACAACACTTTTCCTCCCTACATTTTGCTTTCTAAAAACAAAGTTTGAGTTTCATCTGGGGGCGTGTTATATGTGAGAACATATGGTACCATGCTCAATTTCATTCCTCTCTATTAGAAGGCGTATTATTGCTAAGGCTGAGATGCAGCCTTCTCTAGTTAGATTTTCCAATACTGAGGAAAGTGCAGAAACGGGAGTGGCTGCTGCAAGCCCTTTGGTAGAAGCAAAAGTGTGAAGGCAGCAATATAATTGCAGCTTTACTGTGAGATGTTATTTACCATCTTAGCAGGCATCCAGGAAAGCAACCGAAGGAGGCTGCAAGACTAAGCTAAGTTGCCCTGGGTCAGGAGAGTTCTCTCTCCGCGGTCATCAAATGGTGTCCTGCAGATCTCCCAAAAATATCTAAGTTACTCTCTTGCTCCATGGCATCTCTTCATGTCCTCAAAGCCCAACACCTCATTACCAGTCTGACCAGAACGGCTGCATAGCTTTTCAAAGCCTCTGTCAAGGGCAGGATGGAGCTCTGCACTTGGCAAGGCTACAACAACCTGATAGGAATCGCTACAAAGATCTGGTCTCTCCCCATTCAAGAAAACCCTCGGACAGGCAGAGTTAGCTGGGGTTCTATGGAGCTCTCCCCCCCACTTTTTTTTTTTTTAGACAGGGATTATTTTACGCTACTGAACAATCTGTGTGATAGGAAAGGACCCTAACTTTTGGAGAGTGATGTCAAAGCCTAAGCAAGTGTTTCTGCCAGCCCTCTGGACTGAGAACACTGGTTTGGTGCTGCTTGGAGCCAGCAAACTGGCACCATTTGTTCGTTCCCCATGGTCCATCACGCACCCTTTAGCCAGACAGGCTTTTAGCCTTTGGAATGCTCTGTGGAATTTGTTGTTTAAATGGCTATGTAATTATTAAAGAATAACTCCAATTTGGCTCAGAAACACTATCTTCTGCATTGCTGGTGTGAACACCTGGGTTCAGTGCTTCATTATCGTCCTTGTTGTCTTAACAGTGCACATAATCATAGGAAGGGTCAGGACAGTGAGAAGATTAAAGAACAAACAAGCAAGGGGAGCCAGCTAAGACTGGCAGCTGTAGTGCAACATGATTAAGGGCTTGGGACACCTGTCCGAGTGGTGCAAATGATGTACCACCAATAAGAAGGATCAGGGGCTATGAGAAATGAGTGGGAAACAGTTTAAGGAGAGTCAAGAAAATGCTAAGGGGAGGGGTGACAGAACCCTCATAGGCAGAAAGTCCCCAGGAGGAAAGGGAGCATTGTACTTGGAAAGGAGAGTAGCAAGTTTATGAAATCACTGCACACACTTCAGGAGTGGGGTACTGTTTTCCAGCCCCTGGAAGTTCTGCCGTTCAGTTTATGCACCATTTTTTGTAATTGGTCTGAGAGCACATGGGCAGAGCGCTGAACCTACATGGCTTGAACTGAGGGATCAGAGTCTAATGGTACATCTTCCCAGTAGCATTTAGCTAATTAACTGGCACCTAGGCCTGAGCAGACCCAAGTGTCTGAATCCTCCCTGCTATTTCATTCATTTGTGTGCGTTCGTAGGAAGTTCTTTTTTCTGCAGTAAACTGGGATACTCTATGATTATCTCCCAATGAATTGTGGGAGAACTTTTGGATACCAGGGGCAATTGTGGGGAGGTACTGGAGGACTGCAGCACCTACCACAAAGTGGGTGGAGAGACCTGAGGGAAATCAGTCCCTGAAGTTTGGCCCAGCTAGGGCCATAGGCTAAATACAAAGCAATGCTGAACTCAGGAGAGAGGGTTATATGTGTAAGTGGGGAGGGATTGCAGGCAACACTGGAGTTAACTCTGCAGCGAAGATATCTACCAACACTGTTACCATTCAAAACACAATTGAACACCATTTTTCACATTCCAGCAGAAACATGCCAAAAGCTTAAAGGCCTAGTTTCAGAGATCCTGAGCACTTGCAACTCCAGTTTAAGTCACTGGGAACAAGGTGTACTCAGCACCTTTTATGTGTGCTCAAGCTCTGTGACTTCAGTCTTACAGTAACATGAGATTTCTTACATTTTCCTGCTTACCTGAGCCTCTTTTTAATCGCCGTCTTGCCAGTTTAATCTGATCCTGCAGAATCTGTACCCAGTCTCTGGGCCCAGGAAGTTTATCCACATGGTTAGCAGTGCAGTATTTTTCTGTGAAGACTAAAATAAAAGGTATGATCTTTTAAAAATGTGCCACAAAATTGAGATGAGTGGGGGAAAAAAAACTGGAAGAGGAAGATTTAAAACTAAGCACCAACGAAAACTAACATTCAAGTGGTCAATTCTATGAAAGCAAGGCCAGACTCTAATCCAAAGTTATCGCTGAAATATCATTTGTGCTGAGATCCTATACTGAACTGTATTAAAAACCTAGGACAGAGATGTAGAAATAATGTGCACGCCTCATACTATTTGTTCATATACACAGTTATCTTTCTGCATATGAAGTATTTGCGTTAAGCCTCCAGATGCGGAGGACACTTGTAAATGCCTGCCTCCCATATTTGTACAGCATCTATATAGAACTGAAGGCTTCCTTATGGCCATTCTGTTCTCAGGACCCCATTTGTCAGGCTGCAAGCAAAAAAAAAAGTGATACACAGAAATCCTAATACTGCAGAAGTCTTGGACTCCCTGTTGGCATTTATCATATTGGCAACCAAGATGGCACTGACAGATTCCATATACACATATGGAAAAACACTGCTTTCAAGTGTCCACATCAGTTAGGTCCAAATTTAGATTTTGCAAAGTGGGTTTTTATACAGCTTAAACTTAGGAGACATTTACAAAGAAATGCCTTCTGTTCCACTAGGGAAAATAAGCCTTGTCGCAGCTCCAACTTTGCAAAGTTGAAGATACAAAGGAAGAGCAACTATAAGACAAAAGCAAAACTGCTGTAGTTGATTTTTGTGGTTCAAGTGATAAAAATGTAAAAATAACTTAAGAAAAAGTATTACTATTATTAATACTGCCGGTGTGGCTAGAGATGTTGGTCAGAACCTGGAAACCTGACATGGTCCTCCACCTACAAAGGTTACAGTGTAGAAAGACAAGTAATGCATAAAGTGTAGGCGGGGGGTGGGGGGGGGCGGGCACAACACACAGTTATAATCTACATTATAATGTAGTAATATATGTTACAGGGACATGGCAGCTGTGTGGTCAAGGCATCTTTCTATATGCCTTTGAGGGACAAGAGTTCCAAGCCTTGATGCAAACTTGTGGCAAAAACTGCCCCCAGCTGATGTAGCTGCAAATGGGTATCTGATCTTTCAGGCTGGGGAGTCAAGGGCAGCTGGAAGTGAACACTGGCCAGATCAGGTCATAGCATGCTGTTGGCTTAGGGAAGTTACGCTTTAACCATGCCAGTATGAAGAGTCATTTAGGCTTGGTTGGACCCTGACTGAGCGATAAATACATGTTTAAAAAAATTAATAGAATAAAGGATCTGAAAGAGAATATTTTCCCCAAATTTCTTCATTTTTAAATATGTTAAATGCTATTAAGCAACGCGTGTTTGTTTCTGCAGGACTGAGGCTTTATAATACAATCTGATCCCACAGGGCAAAAGGGCCAGTCCAGATGGACTCCCATGAGGTCAGGTCCACTTTTTCAACTGCATGGATTCCAGCCTCTTTGGGGCAGTAACATCATTTTGTTTTGGGTCTATACATTGCCCAGTATAGCAAGGTCCCGGTCCAGGACTCCTATATCAGTACTGTAATACAAATAAAAAGCTGATGACTCGGGTGATAGCTCAGATGTGAAGATGACAACATATTTTGAAACGGAAATGACATGCTTCCGTTCTGCTTGAAAAAAACACAAACAAAAAAACCCCAACGATAGTAAGTGGTAACAGCTTCTCTTACTATACCTACCCTAACTCGGGTACCAATTTTTGACATTTTATAATTGAATTTTTAAACAATATTCTCCAGCCTTTTTGCTGCATGGAAGATTGACATGAACAACAGGGAAAATAACTGCATAGGAGAAATGGAGAAGCTGGCTCTATACCAAATACCACTGAATACACTAAGTAGAAAGAATTTCTCCTGGTCTAATCGCTCTGGGTTATAGGAATCTTATATATTACTTGTTATTATGGTAGCTAAAATATTTTGAGACAGAAGGGCAATTTTCAAAAATCAACAGTGTCTCCTTTAAGTTCTCCTGCTAATTTTGTCAATGAATGTAGCCTTTTCTTTGTTTCTGTATCCATGTCATGGAACAGAACGAAAAGCGCCACTGAAGACTATCTGCGAGCTTGGTAGAGGAATGTCTTAATGAAATAATGCAAACAACATGATGTTGTTCTGGTGGAGATTTCATACTGGCTCAGTCATCGCTTGGAATAAATGAAACCACAGTGTCTTACAGCATGGTTCTTCAGAGGGGAAAAAAGTGCTATTGGAGCCAGGCTCAGTAAAGTCCCACAGTGCGTCAATCCTTGGCATCTTGTTGCATTAGCCTTTAGGAAAGGGCTCCCCTGTCAAGCGTGACAGGGATTATGCTATAAATGTAATAAAGACAATTTGCGTATCATAGCAGTGCCTAGCAGTGCCACCACACAAATGTGCTTGTTGGCATCTCTATGCTAAACCCTATTTTTGAGGAATTTTTAACTCAAGCTTTTCAATTTGCATTGAAAAACCACAGTCATTTTTTGCTTAACTGCTTGGAAACACTTCTCTTTCCATAAAGGGCAAGTTTTTTATTTCAATTGTACTGTCCCACGGTCCTTTCCCTATTGCATTCTGTTCACATCACTGCATTTAACTCTCGTGTTGAAACTTTCCTACTGTCTGTAGTTTATGACCAGCTCACTATGCAAAGATTTTTGGTCTTCTGTATGCAAGGCATCATGTAAAGATATATTTGCTATGCATGGCCCTGTGGACCAGAATTCAACGCCCGGTATGACAGATCATACATTTATCTAGCAATGGGCCTTTCAGTATTAATAGACTAATCATGGCACTGGGTCAAAAGAGCCAACACGGTGTGACCAGAGGTAGTGGGTCAATTAACATTACATAGGAATTGCTATACCTAATCAGACATTGGTTCCTCTAGTCCCACATTCTGTCTCTGAGACGGCAGTACCTAATTTTTCAGGGAATAGGTAATTATATAATAATCTTTTTGTTTCTCTTAACGTGTGCAAATAGAAAACAGAAACCTGACATAATTACCATTAGGGTCAATACCAGGGCTTCCATAAGCAATATAAACCAAGAACCAGACATGAACCACACATTCATAATGCCCAGGTTAGATTATGGCAATGAAAATACCATGGAATTAAATTTATAGCCTGAAAAAGCTCTAGCTAGTACAAAACACAGCAGCAATTCAAAGGTCTCTGTCCTGTTGTTTCACACTCTTCATAAGGGTGGATCATAACTTTCTTTAACAGATATGTTCTACAAGGACCTTAAAACATAGATCTAGGGGAAGAACTCACAGTGACAGAAATTTCGTGGGAGCTAGACCTAGACTATGAAACTCACTCCCACAAGAGGAAGAAAAACAAAGTAGACAGACACCTCCGAGCTAGATATAAAACTTTCCACTACGATATTCCCCACTCACCCATGCAACAGCTATTCACAGAGCAGATATGACAAGAGGACAGGACAAGCTCCTCCTCAGCACCGTATGAGTGCACCTCAACCCTGAAAAGGGAGGGGGCCAAGGGGAATTATGGCAATCTAAGACCTCAGGTAAAGCCCATATACTGCACTCATGACCCTCTAACTCCTTGAGATAGCATCTTTCAGTGGGGAAATATATTTCTCCTGCTACACTGTTTGCTTAAGGGTGTCCACTGATCAGACTGGCATTGGTTACATTCTGGTCCTGTTTTCAAGCTTTTCTCCACTTCCTTGATCGTTATGAAGATTTGTTTCTCAATGAGAAACAAAATTCTGATCCCATCACCTCATCTCAGCGGCTGAGGAACTTAAGCATAAGTGTATCGTTTCATCTGGCCCTGAGGGGACCAATTAAAAAATAAGGGAAATGAAATAAAAATAAGAACGTACATTTTTACTATCCATTTTAGACAAATTTTAACAAACACAGGCACTGATGATTCAAGTAACTTCTCAACTACAGGCACATTTAAAACACAACATAGAAATCTACCTTTTATTGCACCCACGATGTTTTGGTCTAATCCTTTTCGATTGTCATTGAGTCCTCTTTTCCTCTTCCCATTGGGTAAAGAGTTAGCCAAAGTCTTGTCGTCAAAAAATGCGCAGACCAGCTTTCTGAACAGTAAGCTTCCTGAGCGTGTATAGTTTGACAATATAGAGTCCAGCTGAGATTTGGGCATAAAGACATCAAAGCCTTCAGCAAGCTGCACTTCTGGCTACCGAGAGAAGACAGATATTTTAATTAAAATAGTGTTCACATATGTTATTTTATTTTGGGCATGTGCTTCCAGTGAGACGTCACTGTCACCTCAATTATCACATCTATGAGTCCCTTCCAGGAGTCATGACAACAACCTGTCCTATTGAAATGAAAGTAAATTGATGAATTAGCGCTTTGAAAAGCAAATCAAATAATTATACACATTGTCAGGGCTACCTGCCATTATAGGTACTCAACACCAACTACACTTCTGTTCACACAACAAAAAAATATAATGCAATGGGAGATAATACTGTGCAATATCTAATTACAGTTGGTGGTGACCTTCCATTTATACAATGCCATTTATATACATGGCCAAATGGCCTTTCTAAATGGGGTTTATATATCTCTTCCATGGTCTTGTTTCAATCCTGCGAACCCAGGAAGTGCAATTTGTACCCGAAGAGACAAAACACTCTTGGGGCACTACAGCAGAGATGTACCTCCCCAAGACCAGGAGGGCACATGTAATGGGAGAGATGGTTAAGGTCCATCCAAGGCGCTACAAGACTAGCAGTGAAAAAATAGTCCATGTGAGTAAAGGCAGAAGAAACAGACTCAGCAATTTTTCTCATATCTAGTGCCTTCTGACCCCTGCTATCATGCATCCTGAGTGCATCTTGAGAACAAGACGATATTAAATTAGCAGCTTATTTTAGCACAAAGAAATTGGTAAATCATGTACCTAAAAGCCAGTGACAGAAAAAAAAGGGGTGGTGGGTGGGTGATGGGGGGAAATCACTATTCTTTATTTGCATAACACCTTTTATCTCGATTTACTTTAAGTACTTTTAGGGCCAAAATTTTCCAAAAGGTGTCCAAAAAAGGTCTCTGTACTGTAATTTTGGGAGTGCACCTGTTCACCACAACTGAGAGCTATACATGAACAAAGTGTACTTTATTCTTATATATTTTATATCTTATATGTTTACTCCCTCAACAGCGACTTTGGTTTTTAAACTGAAAAATATCCACTTGCAATAATGTGAGTGCATTTTCAAAGATTCCTGAAGTCATGGAAGCAAATTCCCTCCTCAGCTTGTAACCACCTGCAACCTTCACTGAGGATGAAGGGTCTGTCAGTCTGAGTAGGATTCGACTGTGTAATTTTTCTTCTGTGGCTTTTCTAAGCAGGAGGCCAATCTGACTCACAGAAAGCAGAATATTTTTCTAAGTCACATGCATCATTAGGTAAATATACTGTACAAGACAAGTGAAAGTGGAGATTCCTTTGCAAAACTGGTATCATCATAAAGGTATTAAACTGCATCAAAACATAAGCTTATCTTGACAAGCATTTTCACATGGTGAACTTTTCAAACTCTGACTTTTGCCAACATGGTCAAAATTATTCTACTAGACCTTTCAAAGTCACGGTGTAATCCTTTTAATATGCATTAACATTAACTATCCTGATGACTGTCAAAAACTTTTTCAAGTGCAAAAAAAATGGGCATAATTTTACAACAATTTAATCGCAGCAGTGCGTGATTGTCCAGGTGTGACTAACTGATGTGGAGTAGTACCTATTACTTTGCTACTTTGGCTTGCAGAATCCCAGTGACGGACACGGGACATAAACACGTTCTGCTAACGTTTCTGTGAATTCTCTCTGAAATCCACCTGTGCATCAATTGGAAAACAGTCAATGTTACTTTAGTTTAGGCTTTCTTTGTTTTTAATAAGAGAATCGTTTTGTACATCAGCCATAGCATTCAAAGGTAAAACGCTGATTTATTCCTGCTTGCTTTTAGTGGCAAATTATTCTTCAATCAAAGACAATCAGTACTTAATTGAGCTTTCATGGACAACTTTGAATGTGATTTATCAAATGGCATAGCTCTTATTAGCAGATAATAATCAGGGTATAAAGAACCAGTGGGTAAACTATTCATGTAAAGCGTAACATAAATAAGATCCAAATTCTGACACTTTTGCTGTGCTAAAATTAACAGGCAGAAAATTAGATTTAATCCCCAACATTTCAGTAGGTTGTATTGATTAGAAATGCAAAGCCATTACCAAGTTTACACCGATCAGTGATACTATATCAAAGAACAAAGATTAACTAGAAGCAAGAGAACGTGATATTTAAATAAGGAGCTTAGCTCAGTGGTCAGCAACCTTTTGAGGCTGTGAACTGTAATGACCCAGCTCAGGTCAGAGGTTGGCAGGTACTAGGACTCAGCCACAATCCCCTCCGTGGCACAGGAATAGCCCCTACCCCATTACTGGGGAAGAGAGGAAACCAGGGAGCAGCTGACGCTCCAGCCCCTGAAAGAACTGCTAGGGGCAGAGGGTCATTTAATAAAATGGCCATTTGCCCCAGGTGCAGCGATTGACAGGTTTGGGGCAGAAGTGGAGGGTCAGGTGACTCTGGGCAAAACTTATAAAGCCAGGGCCTGACCTAGAAAGGCAGTCTGGCCATAGGGTCTGCAGGAGGCAGAGCTCCAGGGAAGAGCCAGTCTGGACTGCCTAGAGGAAAGATCCTATGCCCCAGGAGGGGTGGAAGAAACCCCAAACCCTGAGCAGCAAAAGAAAAGTGCCTGGAGCCTTTGTGTTAGTGCTACCGTGGGTGGGATTAACTCCAAGAGCAGAATCTTTTGTTGTGGAAGCGGATGCTCATGCTTTTGGTTTGCGTTCACAACGGAGGACCAAGTGTGAACAAGAGGTCACACTGGGATGTCTGAGGGGTGCACTGTGGTTTAGCTCCCAGAGGCGCCAACGGGCATGTGGGTGCTTAAAGTCCGGCCAGGGGCCAGAGCTCAAGATGCTGACAGGTGGAGTTAGAAGGAGCCAAAAGGGAGAGGAAAAGCTCTGAGCACCCCAAGAGAAAGTGGCCACTACTACTGCTTGGGCTGGAGAAGAGGACTTAGCCAGAAAAACTGAAGGCCCTAACAGCTTGGGAGAGTAGAAAAGCACAGTGGAGTAGAAAAGCACAGACGGGCCAGAGTGGGTAATGAGGCAGGGTTCAGGCCGTGGCCAGAAAGGGCACTTTTGCTCTTGCAGAGCCATGTTACAAGTCCAAAGCGGTTTGCAAAGCGGATTCAGTGGTTCCATGGGCTGGATCTGGCCCATATCAATGGATGCACCAAACAGATAATGGAGAAATAGGGCTGGGAGACACCTCCAGAGGTCTAGTTCAACCCCCTGCCTGAGGCGGGATCATCTCTATTCCAAACCAAGATGCACAGCTTGGTTCCAATGATATGAATCCAGAACTACCACTGAAGCCAATGCAGTTATTAACTTCTCTGCAAGTCTGAACTAATTCCTTTGGTGTCAGAGGTATAATGCAGGGTTTGTAAAGTTGCATTGAGATCACTTATTAGTAGGGGTGTCAATCACAGTTAACACACGCGATTAACGCGTTAATTGGTTCTTGCATTAACTTTTTTAACATGTTAATCGCACATATGGCTTTGGAGCCCATGCCTGGGCTCCGCTCCATTGCTGACACTGCCTCCGTGCCACCCAGCGGGGCAATGGTGGCAGTGCAGAGGAGCCACTGCATGGGGGGAACACGACGTGCACAGACAAGATGCACAGGAGTAGCCACAGCATGTACATGGCCAGGAATGCAGCCTGGTGGTGTGTAGAGCAGCACTCTGCAGTAAGCCTGTGGAAGGAAGGAGCGTGGGGGGGGAGATTGAGACCCCCACAGTGAGGGAGAGAGTGGGGCAGGGCTGGGGTGAATGGGACCTGGGGCTGGTTATGGGATGGAGCTGCGGGCGGCTCATCCTGGGGCGCAGAGGGGCATGGCTCCCTGCCACTGAGTGCACTGCCAGGAGTGGCGGGGGGGGGGGGGGGGGGGGGGGGGGGTGTGCCCCCCCCCAATTTGTGTGCAGGGCAGAGGTGGGCTCTGTGCCCTGCTGCCTTTGGCCTTGATCTGCTCTCTCATCCCTTCCCTCCCCGCCCACATCCCTTCCCTCCACAGATTTACCTGCTGGGCACTGTGTCTATCCCTTACTTCCAAACCACAGGCCCTCCAGGTCTGGTGCTGCTCTTTATTCCCGACTCACAGTACCCTGCATCCTGCCAGGGCATGCGGACAGCCTTCCCCCCCAGACTCCAAACTGCACACCCACACTTTCATAAACTCCCCCCACACACCCCACCCCCACCCATACAAAGTACATGCATAATTTTGAGCTTTTCTGAGCATAATTTTGAGCTTTTTAGCTGTGCAATTAAAACTGTGATTAATTGCAACTCAATTTTTTAATTGCACAACTAGTCGTGATCAATTTTTTTTAATCGTTTGACAGCCCTACTTATTAGCCAAATAGATGGGGTGGAAAGAATACTGGCATTGGTTTGTATGGATATGGACCAGCACACACAAACACGGACCACTTCTACAGTTTTCCAAGAAGAGTTCTGTACTGTAAGGAATTTCCTTTTAGCTTCCCTGGCCATTCAGACCCTCTGGTCATGAATGCAACAGAAATGCTTATGAATAAAGAGAGAAGAAAAAGATAAAACAGTGCTATCATTCAATTTTGAAAAAAGACGTGACTTTGTTTAGTATGTTCCAGATATTTAGGGATGGCAGTATTGTTTTCACTGTTATTTTCACTTAAGAAGCTCAACTGTTTTCTTTTGACTAACAAAACAACTGTTTACATTACAAAATAAAATTAATCTCCTTTTATCCTCTAAGACGGCAGGGGTTCTCTTACTGCAACCATATTGAACTAACAAGTGGGTTTCAAGAGTGAAGGGCTTGGCAAGGCTCAGATAGCCTTACCAAGGCTATCCAATTTACGTGTGCAAAAATCACACCTGCAAAGAACTGCTTTGACAGTGAACTGATCACAAAACTGCCATGAACAAAACACACCCACAAAAACTGGGGATTAAATTTCACTGTAATTTTACCCCTGACACTGCCCAAAAAACCGGAGGTCAAATTTGAAAAGCCACAAGCAAATAGTTTAATAAACTTAAAGCACACATTTAGGGGACAAGGTATCAAATAGTTCCTATTGTATCCAACATTTTCCCCCAGAATACTACAACAGAAGAACCCCTGAAAAGAATTCAGTTACTTACTATATTATTACACAGATTCTGTGACATGACACTGTAATCTAATTAGTGGTGTAGCTTGCATCTATATAACTGAATTATCATGACTGCTCTTTTTTATTATTAGTTGGCACTTCCAGAAACATACAACATTATCTACAGAATTCTTTTCATTTATGCTCATTGATACAGAATCTAATTATGCTCTTCAAGCTCACACTACTTAGGAAATTGGAAACTGCCTTTGCAAAATTAAAAAAAATATATATTAAAGAAATAAATGATTAGTTTATTCATCAGCGAACTTTTTGATCACCATCCACCTGGTGATTAAACAAAGCAGATCAACCACTACTATGGACACAAGCTAGACACTCCATTATACTCACAAGCAGGAAAAAGAAAAGCATGCCAAATGCAGCCTTTCCATGGCCTTGTCACACATTCTAACAGCTGCTAACTTTGGCCCTGATCCTGCAACTAGATCTGCTTGGGCAGACCCCTGCCTCATATGAAGCCCTGCAGACTTGAACAGCGGGATCAAAGCCTTTATCTGAAAACTACAGGGATGCAAATTAAATACTCCAATCCAGAAGACTTACTCACAGGAAGTTTGTTCATGAAGTAACCCCACTGAAGCCAATAGGACTATTCGGGCATAAAATTAAGTACATAATTCAGTCTTTGGGGGATCAGGGCTAAGGTGTGGATTAGTCCAAAAAGCTAAGGGGGTAAATTCCATACACGCAGGGCTCCTAGGCCCACCTTGGCTCCTAGCAGCATGGCACACGGAGACCAGGTTATTTTGCAGGGTTAAAAATAACAATGAACTTTAGAAAGCACCTGCAGGATGGGTAAGGAAAAAGAAGATAAGGCCTTTGAAACAGCACACCTCTTTCACAACTCTCCGTTCACATCCAAATCCCTGTTTGTTTTTTAAGGGAAGAGGGAAAAGTACGGCCCCTGGTAGGCTTCTGCATTCCTCCTCTAGTATAAGTGGTATTTTATGCACCTCAAATATCAACTTACATCTGAGGAAGGCGATTCAAGAATGATACCAAATCCTGAAATGGGGGTCTCTGGTTTGAGAGCAGGTTCAGCTGCGTGCAGACTGGATTTTTCAGAGTTGGTTGACAGTTTCTTTTCATTCTCTACAGTGCTGGACTTCTTATTCACAGTAATTGGTTCAAAAGTCTTTTGGGGCAATTTTTTCTTTTTATTTCTCTTCCTTGATATGGTTGCCTTCTGTGCACAGATCAGGGGAACGGGAGGCTGCTGTCTATTTTGGGTTCCAACTAAAGGGAAACAAAAGCTGTGAATATATTTATGGACATAAACTCTGCCCCACAGACACACACACAAATTCAGGTTAAAACTAAATTACTGATTTGCTGTGCTCCCGGACAAATAGCAAACAGACCTATAAATTGTGGTAAGAAACATTTTAAAATCAAATCTGGATAATTTCTTCATTAAAATGAGGATAATATCAAACTCCTTTGTAAAACACACTGAATCTATGATGAAAAATGCAATAGAAAAGCTGGGAATTCTTAATGACCAATGAGGGAGAGAGGAGGAGGGGGGAGATGTTTGTGGCATAAGTACTTTAGCAATGATTACAGTTGTGTTGCATTGTATGTCCTTCCACATGATCAAAAACTGCTTTGTCTCTGAACATCTTTTACTGACATAAATAAAATACCACTAATTGCATTAGCACCAAATTTAGCCACCATGATAATTAGTTGAACGAGAACATGTAAAAGTCCTGTGCTATCAAGGATTGAAAATAGCATTGAATATTTCTGGAAAACAGTAAGCTGAGATTGATGCCTGTTTTGTTTTTTTGTACAGCGGCACCCAGGCTCTTTGCAGGGTTAGGTTCCTTAATGCCCTGCAAAGAGGAGGGTTTGTGAGCTAGCTGGAGATATATGCAGATACAGCAAATGGCTCAGGTGTTCAAGCTATTTTCTATGGCTTTTATTTCAAAGGTAATGTTTCTCTGATTAGCAGCCCGGGACCATTGATGAGCTCCAGCTGATTGGAGAAGCGCTGCCCATTGAAGTATATGCCACAGCAAATAGCTCATCCTTAACTTGGGCAACCTGCTGTGAACCACCTGGGTACAAATGATCCAAGTTCTGCTGTACATAGAAACACACAATTCACATGCTACATCTGAAGCCTGATGACTTTTATTTCTTATTTATATCATTTTAATATTGAACATTTGCATGGCACTGTGAAAGAATCCAGCTATGCTTTGGTAATTAAGGACCTGATCCTGTAATCAGATCAATGGGTGAGTCCTTCCTTAGGCATCAGATTTCAGGATCAGGACCAGAAACAAATACCAAATGACTTTCCTTTTGCCCACATGCGAGTGAAATTTTTATGGAAAACTCCATAGCACTGAGTGAACAACAAACTGCTCTTATTTACAAGGCTTCTTCAAAAGAAGTAACACGCTGTAGTGTTATTTACTTAACAGATTTCGATGATGTTTCATTTCTGGCAAGAACATAAAGGGCTGCAATTTCCAGTTTGTTTTTTTTTTACTAGAAAGGTGCTTAAGTAGCATTATGCTTTCATGTATATGTTTGTATGTGGGGTGCTAATTTTTAACAAAAATGCCAAACAGGTTCTTCCTTTCCATCTGGTCTTCGTACACCCCACAAAAACTATTTCCCAAGGCTTTATAAAAAGACACCTATTCATTTTCAAGTAATTTACATCCTTCAAATTCAGAAGGCAAAGAGAAATGTATCTGCTATCCTGGATGCCAAGTTTTAATGCGGGAGGTTCAGTCCTGCATCACTTATTCACAAGTCATCTTTACTCATGTAAGTAATCCCACAGAAATCAATGCAACTCGTTTGAAGGATTACTCATCAAGGTAAGGGCTGCAGAATCAGGTTTTACAGTTCTTTTGCAACATCTTTAGTCATATTGATTAATCTTACAATGCTTGTATGAGTGTTCCTTTAGATCATATTATTATTTCACGTATGATACTGTAAGGCATAAACACCCTTGCTACCCTTCCCGCTTCTACCATAGGTCAATTAAGGTGATAGTGATTAAGCACTGGAAGAGGGCACTAAGGGCATTTTTACACATGCAAGTGCCTGGCGCTGACACACTTACAATTGTAAAAGCAGCAAAATGCATGTCAGTGCTGAGAAAATGGCGGTGGTGTGCTTTTGAACTAAAACATTTTGGAGATGCTTTAGTTCAAAAGCACATGGCTGCCATTTTCTACACGGTGACGCGCATTTTCCACTTATACAACTGCATATGGTGCAGCACAGTGAGCATCAGCTCACGTGCGAAGCAGACTCTATTAGTCGAGTCTGTTCAGAAGTGGTGGTGTGTTGCCAAAAGAAAAGGTATGTATAGAAATGCCCCTAAAGACATTGTGGAATCTCCATTTCTGGACACTTTCAAAAGCAGGCTGGACAGACATTTGGCTTTGATAGTTTAGTCAGGGCCATGCTGCCTTGCGCAGGGGGCTGGACTAGATGACCACGTGAGATCCCTTCCAGCCCTGTTTTGAGGATTTCTAGGATTTCTTATTCTCCCCCACAGTTCCAATTGGGAGCTGCTGTCCAGCGAAGGAACTCCAGGATTTCCATTTTGTGCTGATCTGAGTCAAATGACACTCTCTCTGAGCTTCTCTTTTCCCATGAGTAAAATGGAAATACGAATACCCAGTTTGCAAAACACAGTTCTTTGGACAGATAGTGCTATACAAGTCTCAAATTTGTTGCTGAGGTTGCTAAGTTCCAGGATAAAAGGAGTTGGGTGAAAACAAGTAAGATAGCAGAGAAATCCTACTTTGAATGAACACGGCACGAAAATACAGAATGGGATGGATTAATGATCTATTAAGTTGTCCAACTTAAGGATTTACATGGCCCCTATTATCACATATCTGAGCACCTCAATATCCTTAATATACTTCAATTCACATTACACCTGCAAAATAGAGAGGTGCTCCGATCCCTGTTGTACGTGGGAAACTGAGACACATTAGGTGCTGGGAGTCAAATTTTCCCACAACAACCAAGCCCAATGAAATGGACTGCAATCAATCTACACAAGGAACTTGCTCAGGTATGTTCAGATAGCTCCTTTCTGACCAGATGCAAACTCTCAGCATGACTGTCTCTCTTTCCTTCCCAGTCTTTTGTAATTAAATCACTCCTGTTGTACAGCCTGCTCTCTGCATGTCCTTTCATAGCGTCTGATGAAGCAACCTGTTGCTCATGAAAGCTTATGCATCCCTGTTTCAGTTACCCTGCCTTCTGCCAAAGCAACTTCTGAAAATTTCATCCCAAGTAACCTGCCTAAGGAACAGGGAACTGAAAACTGGTGTTCCAAGTCCCAGCCTTGTCCAGTAAGCCCTGGATCACTCTTCCAGATGAAACCATTGCCTAAAGACATTAGGCTTGATTTAACACTTAGTGTGCAAGAGGTTGATCATTGTACCTGCTTGAATCTGCATTAACTTCCTCATGGTCTTGAGTTCCTGGAGAATGGCCTGCAAGGTTGACTGACAGTTACAAGTACAGCAGTTTGGTCCTACTGAGGAATTCACCCCTGGAATTTCCCCTGAGAAAGAAAGAAAATAAAAGAAGGATACAATAAAAAAAAAAATCTTGACAGGATTTTGAAGACAGCAATATACACTATCAAAAAATAGAATCCAACGAAAGCAAACCAATAATTTTCAATACATTCATTTTTGAGAGGAGGGGGCCACCAGGTTTTATCCAATTACCAGTGTAAATGCTGACATGCTGTTGGGAACATGATGTTACATGGGCTGGTGAAGACTGCATGGAAGTGGGAATACAATGTACTCTCACAGCAGGGCTCTCTATTGTCAGGTTAGTTCATCTCAGATAACAATAGCACCAAACCTCATTATAAACATACTCACTTTATCATGCACAAAAACCCGTCTCCTAGAACAGTCTTACAAAGAATGGGTAGCTGTCTGTATAACAAAGGTTTATATTAAGCCTTAAATGAGGGCCTCCGATTTCTAAAATTGCTTGAATGCTACACATGTTGCTTTACGAAGTGAAGAACTGAGAGTGAAAATAAGATCCTCAGTTCACAGACGCACAGGAACCAACAGAGGAAAAGAATCATCAACAAGAGAGCTGGGAGAGTCTGCTCTACCAGAGCACAGTCATTTTCTGTGGCATGTTCTCTACTGCCAAGTCCCAGATGGGATTTTCACAACTCCTCTGTGGGGATTAGGGAACAGCCCAATAGACCACTGGCCAGAATGCCTTACTGATGGGTCATGCTAATTTTCCTTTCTGCAGTTTAATCCCATTACTCCTAGTTGCTTCTTGTTGCACCATCCCTAGTACTATCTCAGCTTCCATGGTCTTTATGTCTCCTACCCAGCAGCTTAGCTCAGAGGGCAGGTCCAGATCTCTGGTGGCTGGACCATGTGCAGCTGAATCTAAGGTTTGTTTTAAAAGAATCATCTTTCAGCTCCTCAAAACTGCAAAAGAAATCTTCCAAAAGATAAATTGAATATAACCTGCTGTGGTGGTACTTGTCTGAATAGCAGTTAACGCTGAAGACTACGATGAGGATTTAAATCAGTTGCTATTTTACAGCTCGACAAAGCAAGGAAAGGGACAGTCATTCTGAAGCTCTCCACAACTAAATACAAGTCATCTCATTTTGGTGTCATAGGTGGACTGACTTTGGGGGAGCACCATCACTTATGTTCTCTAGCTGGACAAGCAGACACCCATGTCGGCTTTCATGGCTGCTTAGCCAAAGCACATATAATTCATTCAGTTTTCTTTCTTAGTTTCCAACATCCTCAATTATTTTTATGGTTCTTCTCTGACACCCTTTACTCCACCTCTGCTATGTTAACATCTTTCTAGTTCTGGCTTGTACCACATACTGAGGTTGTGTCAATAGGAAGAGCTCCCCAAATCTCGCTGCGTCTCCAGATCCACGTAACTCCCTTCTTGATATGGTCCATCAGGTATTGAGCCCCACTTATGACTGTCTGCTTTGGGCAATGATCCCCAGAGACCAGATTTGAGAAAAAAGTGGTCACAATCCTTCCAGAAGCCACTCACTTGTAAAGCAAAGAGGTTGCTTGCAGAGGATTGCTCAGACCTTCTTAGTGATATCTTTTGACTGTCTTACATATAAAGAACCTGACATTTAAAATGAATATAATTATGGATCTGCTGTTAACACTGCATTGAGGTAAATAGCGTAGGTCCCATCTTTGAGAGCTCCTGTTTCAGGCTTTCTGAGAACTAAGAAAAAAAACTACTGCACCAGCTCCATTTGCTTTGTAACACACTGGCAGTCGCAGATTAAAACAAGAACAGGTTAGAGACTCAGGATGATTTTGCCCAACTTGGTCACATCCTTTGTCTGCTGCCTATTCAGACTGAGCGTTGTTTTAGGGGAATGGGCATAGAAACCATCCTTTATGTTCTCAGTGGTCCATAAATTGCTTAGCATGCTGTTAGAGCTGTACAAACAATGCTTGGAGAAGATTTTTATTTGTTGGCTTGTGGCAGATTACTCAGAGTCCCTGAACTTAGTTCTGCCAATACCCTTCACCTGAGCATTCATTTAGACTAGACCTCTCTACAGTAGATTAGGTTGAAGGCAACTTCCAACTGTTCATGGGCTTTGTAAGAAAAATTCAGTGGCAACAGCACAGCTACCTGCCCTTTAGTGAGACAAACAGCTGTCTTGGATGCCAACAAAAATAGGAGACAGTTATATGAATAACTACAATTAAAGAAAACAATGAAAAATCCCTTTCACCCCTCCCTCCGGGCTTCCTCAATGCTGCTTGCCTACTCTCTGTCTGTCTTCTTTGAATAATAAGCTCTTTGGGACAGGCCTGGCTTTATTTTGTCTCTTGCACAGCTTCCAGGTTGTTGCTGGGGCTTAACAAATAATAAATAAGAATATTTGAAAGAGATTTGTTTCAGATTCTACATTCTGGTGAATGGCATATAAAAACTTTGACAAAGCAAATTCTGTCAGTAAATACCTGTTCATCTTCCCTGTTACAATACAATGCATTCCTAATGAAGGCATGCAGGCACTGAGGACCCTGACTGAAAACCAAAGGGTCTATTTTCCCATTGAGGCATGAGGGATTTACATTACAATCCCCATTAGCATTGATAGAAATTACCCATGTAAATCTACCGTATGTACTGTAAATGGGAAAAGAGACCACCAATATTTCAAATCAAAGCAGGGTTCTACTGACTTCATACATATTCATAAAGATTTTTTATTTTACTTCCATCCTCCCTCTTCTGATTGGTTACACTGGTGTCAGGAACATCATGGAGAATGTTCTCAGTCATTGTTCTAGGCACTATCTTTATCATTTTTAGAGGACAAAAGAAACCTTTTTCAACTTAGTATAAATCAATTTTTAATTTTAAAAAGAGAAGCGACTTTTTAGTTTTATGGAAGAGTCTTTAAAGAGCCATCTCCCTCTAGTTTGGAGGCAAGCCAACATGTGAATTTGATACTGGCTTGTATGACTGATAGAGAAGATGCAAATACATCGTTTGGTTGCTCTCTTTGCATGATCAGCAGATACTCCAGGACAGTTCTTCCTGCAAATGGATCTGCTGATAGTAAATCACATTGGTGTTAGATTTCTACAACAACAAATTTATTCTTGAAAAGCATGCAAGTGCAATCCACTGAAATTAATCTCAACAAAGCCAAAAACCTATTCTGATGGGACACCGCTTTCACATTCTCTAAAGAACACTGAGAGATAAAAAACACAAATATTGATATTGCCCCACTGACCTCCGGGGAACTACTTATGTACATGCTGGATGGGGATGCTACATCAGGTCCCTGTCCACAGGTTCTACTGATATGAACTGGGCACTCAACAAGCATAGACGTCCATGTGCCGATCTGCCCAGCTTACAGCATTGGTAAGTCGAAGTCAGATCTGAGCAAAGGTCCTATGGATTTTGGGGATGCAGTCAGGTCCTTATTTTGCAATTGCAAACCTTATATTCCCTTCCTTCCTTTGCAATAATTTTTGTGTTTCTTTTTTCTTCCTCTCCTCCTCCTCTCCTTTTCTGCCCCTTTTTCCATACTCTCTTCTATACGTGCTCATCTCATTGCACTGCATGTTCATCCTCCACCCATTCAAATCCTTCTTTTAAACGTACTCTTTCTATGAGGCTTATGAGCACCAAGACCAGGTCTACGCTATAAAGTTTGTCAGCATAAGTACATTGGCTAGGGGGGCATAAAGATCACACTCCTTTGGCTGATGCAGCTTTGCTGGCAAAACCCCTGGTGTGCACAGAGCTATGTTGATAGAAGGCGCTTTTGTCCATTTTGTTTGTCATTCAGGGAGGTTGCATAACTATGGTTGAAGAAAAGCCCATCTTGTCAAGACATAGCGTGTCTTCACAAGGCAATGGCTCCAACATAGCTATGCAGTCATAGCTACAGTAGCAGAGGCTCCATAGTGTAGACAAGCCATAAGTCACTTCAGAGTTAACAACATCTGTCACACTTTAATATATTAAAACAAACTGAACTAGGAGAGCTAGAAAATGAGACCCACTGCCACATCAGCCTCTGGGGCTTCCAGTTTATTTGGTGCCAATCATTGCCTATATAGGGATAGAGTAAGCCCTGCGAAGACTGAAGCTGAAGACTGTCAGTTTTTCAGTGCAGAGAGTAATTCCTCTTGTACAGCTCAGAGAATCATTTTTCATCATTTGTAACAGATGCAACTCTTGTGCATCTTTAAATAAGGACACAGCAGACATCACTGTATGGCAATTAATAATAAATTGCAGTTGGCTCCAGAGATATCTGGTAATTCTTTTGGATGCAAGTTCATGTTTACAATGTTGATACACAAAACCCCTGCAACTGAGGCACCTTTTTCAAGATTCAGGTTGAATGAGAAACGAAGCTTTCTGAGAGAGATTGAACAGACTGTGGAAGAGTCTCCCAAGAAAGGAAGTGAAAGCTCCACTGCTTGGGTCATCTATAGCACTAGGAAGAAAACACACTTAAAAGCACTGAGCATCTAGTGTAAGGAACAATACTACACTGGAAGGTGATGGGCTATATGTTTTAATACGTGTTAACCATTGCTGAATTCTATCATATCTTATTTTGAATAGTCCCATGTAAAAAAACGCCTAAGGTTAAACTGGAACTTTATACCGTAAGCTGATTAATAGCCAGATTCTGCATCCTTACACCAAGAAGGATCTTGCTCTGCAAGCAGTCCCATTGGTTCTACTGTTCTACCAAGCATGACATGGAGTGGCAGAATCAGGCGCTTACCTAGCTATGAATTCAGTAACAATGGCAGGACCCGATTTAATCAATACAGAAATACAACCTATATAACAAAATATTATCAATTATGCCCTGTCATTAGGAGACCACTTTAAAGGCTCGGAAATGCAGGAGCAGAACGCTCCATGCCCACACTCCCAGGTTTTCAAAGTGATAACTATACATTCATTTTGTAAACTGTGAACGATAAGTAATTTTAATGCAATATTACTATAATTATCTGAACAAAGGTAGATATTTACTAGAGTAAAAAATAATGCCATGTGGAGTATCTAACTGTGATCGTACCATTGGATCCCACGGTTCTCGTTTGATTTTGGAAGGTTTTAGACCGAGTTCCATACTGCCCTGAAAAATGGCTGGTTTGGGGTGATAATTCATTCCATGCACCACTCTGAGAAGGATGGAGGCTCGCCTGGGACTCTGCAGGGGGGTTCAGGCGCTGGGCCCAGGCTAAGTCTAAATCCTGGGGTTCTTCCTTCAGTTTTTCTCCTTCTTTGCCAACGCGCTGATAGATTCTTCCAGCGCTGTCATTCAGTAATCTTCTCATCCCTGTAATTTGTTTTTTAATTTCCCGGCTTTCATCTCCTAATGAAAACAGAGCCACAGTTATCACTGTAAATTAGCAAAAACGGTAATGGGGAGAGATTAGTGATTTTAGATGCCAATAAGAGTTTCTAGCTGCTGGCGTAAAATAAATAAATAAGTAAAAGACATGGCTGAGTGGCAGTTATCATCTCCTGTGCCATGCGTTAGTACAGAAATGGCTGAGATAGCTCTGGGTTAAGAGACCTGCTGGCTTGCCTAATGCTGCTTCTAAAGCTCTTATGTTTAAGAAATGCATTTCTTTTCCTGAAGGAAATAACAATGGCTCCCGCAGCCTCAAATAAACTGTCCTTTTAAGACACCAAACCTACTTCAGCACTGACATAAATGGGAATTTTGTCTCAGTACAGCAGGCAAGATCAGACCCTAAACATATCAGCAGGACATCTGCTCAGGGGAAGACCCTCCTCTCCCCCCAAAAATCAATAACATAACTCCCATTGACTTTAATGGAAGCAACATCAGTTCTTTAGTCCCTAGAATTTAACAATAATAGCATACACAGAAGTAAAATTTTAAAAAGCAGCTAATATCTCCGCAGCCTTGTGGAACCTAACTGCTGGAAGCCTTCAAACGCAAATTATGAAAGCAAAAAGAAAATATGTACAAGAAAAATGTAACTGTTTCAAATACATTCAGCACATTTAAATAATAACGATTACATACTTTAATGCTCTTGGCACCATTTAGGTATTAATTTTATGTATGAAACTGCTGATTGCACAATGAATATATATGTTTTGGGCAGATAGTAGCTATTTTGCTCGTTAAAGCATGCATTACATTTTACTGGTAATAAGGAAATGTTCATAACCACTTCTGAAATAAGCAGCTTCTATTTTTTACTGGTAATAGAAAAATCAAACATCTTAAGCAAGAAGGATAATGAAGATCAAGACACTGATAGAATCAACCCTCCTTTTATACTATATTCAAGGCAGGGCTACTCAATATAATCTTTTCTTTGAAAAATATTTCAATTTACATCCTAACCCCCTCCCCCCACAATAAAAAACATTTTTTACAGAGGTAACTGTACAAAAGAGCTGGTGTAAAGAAATGAACAATAGCTCCAATTCAGCAAGGTATGGGAGCATGAGCCTGGCTTCAAAGAGGCAGTCAGTCTCATGGATTTCAGTGAGTTTATCTGCGTGTCTTAGATACCTTGCCGAACCAAGGTCGTTAACATTAATATTGCTTTAAAAAAACCCAATCAAAAACATAATATGGGTCAGGTTCAACCTCTTGGAGCACACTGCCTAGGGCCCACAATAAAGGAGGCCAGATTTGAACCTGCTGGACATATAACCAGTGAAAGGCCAGCTACCTGACCTACTGAATCATTTGACCCTGGGCCAACTCTACCTTCAGTTGAGGTTGTTCCAATTGGCTCCAACTCACTGGCAGGTAGCTTGCAAGAAAGCTCTCTAATCTGCGTAGGATTTGCCAGTCCGCTAGAAGGATACTAAAGCACTATTTCTACTATAGCAATAAAGAGAAGGCAGGGTGTTTTGTGTAAGATGTCACTCTCATGAACTTCTTTATATGAAATGTAATATGAAATATAAATGTATGCTGGAAGAAGTATTAGAAACACCTAGAAAACTTATCCCTTCTGATTTTATGCTTTTAGGAGCCAATTTAGAAAGTTGGCAAGTGTTCTCAATTCCTGGCTTCCATGGAAGTTGAGAGTCCTCCTCACACCATTGGCTTGCTTCTACCTAGGTACTTGGATAGTAAACTCTGGGACACAAACCATGTTTTTTATTATAAGTTTGTATGATGCGTAACAAAAGGGAGTTCTGGTCCATGTTTTGGCTCCTATTCACTTCCACAATAGAAATAAGCAGAAATATTAATATTAGGGGAGTACCAAGAAAGATTTTTTGGGCCGATATCAATGGCCGATTATTAACTAGCCATACTGGCCGATACCGATCCGATTGCTGATATGCAGCCCGGCATCTTGGAGAACAGAGTCTGGCTGGTAAGTCTGCTGGGGGGGAGGAAGGGGTATGGGGGGGGCGCAGGTCCAGGCCATCGTGGTGAAGCAGAGAGTGGGGCTGGGGCTGGTGCTACCCAGCCAGGGTGGGGCACAGGACAGAGTCGCGAGCGGCTCGTCGGTGGGGGGGGGAGGGCTGGCTCCTGCCACTGCACGCATCCCTGTGTGAGGCATGGGAGGGCACATGCTTCTTGGATCTGTGCATGAGGCGAGGGCGGGCTGGGACCAGGGCCAGTGCTGGGCTCTTCCTGACAGAGGGGTTGGGCCAGGTCTAAGCTTGGGCAGTGGCACTGGGGGGGATACAGAGACAGGGGCAGTGGCACTGGGGGGGATACAGAGAATTTTGGGGTGGCTGTAGCTCCTCCCATTGCCCCCACTCCCAGTGCCACCGTCACCACCTGCCCCAAGCGCAGCCCCAGCCCAGCTCAGCCCTACCTGCCAGGAAGAACCTGGTGCTGCTCCCAGCCCCAGGCCGCAACACCAGCCTGCCCTCACCCCGCACACAGATCTGGAGGGCACATGCCCCCCATGACTCCCCTGGGGGAGCTGTGGAAGCCCCCTCCCATGCCCCCCCAATGATCTGCTCATGGCTCTGTCCCACACCCTGCCCCACCCTGGTGCCCTGGTGGGGCAGTGCCAGCCCCACTCCTTCCCCCACTGTGGGAGCCTGGATCTACACCCCTCATGCCCCTTCCACCACAACAGACTTACCAGCCAGACGCTGCTCTCTGATCTGCTGGGCTGGCTGCATGCATGCTATGGCTGCGCTCATGCATGCGGCATTTATCAGCAACATTATTGGCCATATCAGCCAAAAAAAGCCGATTGCCAATAATGTCAATTTTCCTTTTATTGGTGCTGATACGATAAGGACTGATGTATTGGTGCACCTCTAATTAATATGCCTATATCAGGAGGCTTAACCTCCACCCTACGGGCCAAATATGGCCTGTAGAGCCTTGGAATCTGGCCCATGGGATTCCCGTAGGTTGGGAAATTTGGTGGCGGAGGAGCAGTAGCAGTACTGCCATCCCTTCCTGCTGCCAAAATCCCAAGCTCCACAGGGTGGGGCAGAGCTGGGCCACACCGCCTTCCCTCTACATGGCTGGGTTGGGGCTGGGCTGTGCTCCCCTCCCCCCAGTGTAGGGCCCGGTCACACCCTCTTCCCTCCACTCAGTCAGGCTGGGGTTGGGCCACAACTCCTGTCCCCCATAGGGACCAGGCCATGCCCCCTCACCCTGCGCAGCTGGTTCAGGCTAAGCCTTTCCCTCTACCCTGCCAGGTCAGGGCCAAGGTATGCCCCCTTCCTTCTATGGGGACGGGCCATACCAGCTCCCCCGGCAGAGCCAAGCTGTGGCCAGCCCAAGCCCCCTTCCTCCACATGGCTGGATTAGGGTTAGGCTGTCCCCCTTCCCCCTTTACATGGCCGGAAGGGGCCCTGCCATGTCTGGCCCACAGCGGGATCAGGCAGTGCCCATCTGACCCTCCAGCCAAAAAGGCTGACCACCACTGGCTTATATCATCAAAGTATTTAAGTGCCCAACTGTATGGATAAACGATATGCCTTAATTGCAATTTCTGAATTTAGTGTACACGTTTACTAAATGCTACGGGAGGAGAGGGAGGGGAGACAAACTGGAACTAAACGAATATTAAGGGCCTCACGCATTTCCCACAACTGGCTGCAGTGACTGCTATCTTGCCCAGCCCTGGTGACTGGCTAGGATAGTTTCTATTACCTTGGTAGTTTTTTCTGTGCCTTAAAAGTTGACAAATCCTCAAAACAGGAAATAGGGAAGTTAATCCTAACTCTGCTTCCGAGTACACATAAATTTCAATGCAGTCTTTAATGAGGTGGTCAAATACTACTACTACACAGTATTACTACATCTTTAATATGCACATGTAACATCTTGTATTTTTTTTCCTTGCATCTTTACATACTTCTATGCATTTCAGTCACCACAATCCAGAGTTTCTTCAATGACTGCAGCTAGCTGCACACAGGCACACCTCTGCACTAAACAGCACATTGCTGCCCGCGGACTGAATCTCACTGCAGGAGCCTTTCCGTTTAAAAGGAGAACTTTTTAAAAAGTTCTCAAGCCTAAGGCCTACAGGCTAGAGTCGGGATGAATACATGTGTTGGGGCTCCCTTGACTTACGCAGGATTTGGAGAATCCCAGCTTCCATTGACAAATATAAGTTGCTAGCTATGGCATCTGTCAAGACATGCTGACAAAATGTAACTGGTGATAATGTCTCACCAACTGTCCTGAAGTAATGCCTCGGTGGTGTAAACTCCCTACCCACATTTGTCTGATTTGAGTACTGGCTTTTCAAACTGCTGCTAACACTTAATTACTAATGTTAACGGGCTCTACTGCTTATCCACTAGTGAATAAAAATCAGGTAGCAATTGGGAGTAAAGGCCAAGGGGCTGTGAACTGGGAGCTGCTGCAGGGAGGCAAACAGAGAAGAACAAAAAAAAAAAAAAGAAAGATGAAGAAGGGGGGAAACCTGAGAAAGGAAGACAGGGTGTAGAGAAAGCAAGGATAGATGTAGTGGGGCCTTGAGAGGCAGGCTCTCTCATCGAGTCCTCAATAAGATACCAAAATAAACAAACAAATAAATAAAAATGTACAATATAAAATGCCCTGTTGATCTCTGGGAAAATTCCCAGTCAACAGTGGGGAGAGATGCACTAAGGGGAGAAACTCCAAAAAACATTCACTATAATTAAACAGAGATTTTGACCCTCTCCTCCACGTGTTTCACACTCCAGTTTAGGCTATATATATATTTCCATAATTTTCTTGGTAGACACAGCAGAGGGGAGCTGTGGAATTAGAAGTGCCTCTAAATAGTAAGTTATATACCATATTGTGTTACCTTCACTGATGTGAAATAGTGCCTTACTCTACAAGCAGTCACTTTGATTTCACTGAAACCAAAAGTTCCTTTCTGTATAAAGTGCTAT